AGAGATTCGGATTTTATTCATGATTTCAATTATTCTGGAAGCTGTCGATCCTTCCTCGTGCGATTTCGCACGAGGTGCATCGTGTACCGTTGCCGGAGCGTACACCGACGTTTCTTTGTAGACCCACAAGTCGGGATCTTCCACGAGCCAACTTCCGTCGATAAATGTGACAGAATGGAAGCGACGTGGGGTGCGACGGGGGAGTTTATCCTGACGATCGAAATCTTTGGAGGATACGATCTGAGAGAAAGAGTATGTCTGGAGTAGAAAGATCTATATCGATTTTCAGATACATCACTACGCTCGTTCGTCACGATTCTCTCTCGGTTTAAGTCGTGCGTAATCCGGAACACTTATCACTGTTCGCGTGTTATATCTTATCCTTATCTTTTTCTCTCCCCCTCTCTCTCTCTCTCTCTCTCTCTCTCTCTCTCTCTCTCTCTCTCTCTCTCTCTCTCTCTCTCTCTGTCTCTCTGTCTCTCTAACTCTTTTTCACTGTCCGATGCGACGTTTGAAGGCGTATCCGGTATTATCGCGTGTCCTTTCCTCGCCGCCTCCCTTTTCGCGCGGGGACCACTCGCTCTCCCTTCACTTTACGCGCGTCCCCCGTTATTACGCCCGGGCCGACGCGGGCAACGGTCGGGAGAGCTACCGGGAGCTTTAAAGCTCCGCGACCCGCGAGGAGCTGTCGTCCGGAGTTCGGCCAATATGGCGGTTACACGCGCTTACACGGTGCCTTAGCCACCACTGTCTGCCTGTCTCGCGGACGATTCCAGCGACGCCGACGCGAAGCGCCGCGACGCGAAGCTACCCGGCGCGGATGCGTTTCCGCAGACCGACGCCGACGCCGACGCCGACGCTGTTACCATCATAGAACGCCGACGCCGACACGATGGTCGAGCCATCGGCCGATGTACGAGCACCGCGATGACGTGCGGCAGTGCTCGTACTCGTGATCCTAACGTGCGAATGACCCGTCGATCATAGAGGTGTCGTTTACGACCATGGCTCGCCACGACGAGCAATCGTACAAATGATCGTGACGACGGAAATCCGTGTACGCATATAACTCGAGAGAGGAGCACAGAGCGCAAGATAAAGCGAGAGCACGAGCAGACTAATCGGAAACATTGCACAGTACTACGGTGAAATGATCTCTTAATGATAATAACACTAATAGTTATGACGGAATCGATACGTGGTAGACAAATGAATTAATTGCCCTGCTCTTCGCATTTCAGGCGTGGAAAGTAAAATAAACGCTACGGAATATTCAGTAGTAAACAAGTAGTAATAGCGTCGAGGGATAAAAATAAAATTTGATTCTGAAAATATTCAGAGAATCTTATAAATAAGCCAAACCGTTCGCCAAACACATTGCCGTAAAAGCCTGAAAGAACAGCTGACTATTTCGATGAGATAAAATAGCGAATAGTCCGAGATATGTTGCAGTTTATATTTTTTAATAACTATAAACGATAACTATAATTATATTGTCGGTAATTCGTTAACTTTGTTTAAGGTAGAGGGATTCAAAGTTGTATTCGAAATTATTATTGGTTCCCCCCCCCCCCCCATCGAGTGAGAGAGTTTAAGAAAGCAAACACTTATATTCTTCCGTTAGATATTCTTTAGATTGAATATCAAACCTTTGTAAGTTCAAGCCATTACCAATGTAAACAAGAATCTTCTTAATACACAAGAGTCCCCTTGATGTGGCACATTAATGCAATTACAAAATGTAATTCTAGTTTAAAAAATTATTTACGATTTTTAATCTTATTTCATTCGGTGATAATCTATCTCTTGGTGAAAACTGATGCAGACAATGCTAAGTCAATTCTCAGTAGGTTAAACTATCGTTTTCTCGGTGAACTTTGAATCTTATATAAAGCGCAGTTAATAATAGATTAATAAACAGCTAATAATAAAAGTGATATAAGAGAACTAGAAGAAAGCGAAAGCAAAACGCATTTGTGGCAACGATGATACGAGGATATTTTTGCAAAATATGGATATAAGGCTCTTTCATAATTATAAATATCATCACATTCTGAAAGGAGGCGCTCGTACGCAAAAATAAATAGACACGAGCGTCACCGTGGCCGTCGCAAACCTATGCTTACATTTTTATGGAAATCTCCCGTCGTGTGTATTTTAGGGATATTACATTTTCGTGGCAAATCTCATTTTCCTCCCCCCTGCCCGAACCGATGCCCCGCCGTCCTTGGCACATCGCCGTTTTAGCGGCTTTTAAGTTAAGTAGTTCCGCGTTTGTGGTGCGAGAGCGGAAATTTCTCTCGCGCTAAAGTACCATCTCCTCCTTCCGTCACGCGGCGCGGCGTCCGATCGATCACGCGACTACGGCCAATACCAGACATCATCATCCCTCCGTTAGTTTTTTCCGCCTCGCATCTACGTAAGGAAGAGACGGGCGACGCGCGAGCGTAAGGGAATGTCTCGACAGGGGTAGGGATCGATACACCGACGTCGGCAGCGGCTCGATGCACTCGTCGTTCCGAAATTGCGACTCGGATGCGGATGCAGATGTATCTCCGGTTGCTCCCGTTGAATGATCCGCGCTCGTCCGTGTGCGCGGCGGCCTCCGGCTGCATGATAACGAAGTGACGGGACGCTGCAAGTTAATTTCAGAGCCGCGTCATGGAACGTTACACATGGTAACGCCGGGCGGAATGTAAATGAAGGCTGCCGGAGCGACGGATGCCGCTGGTACAACACCTATCGTACTCTCGGTAGGGAACCCACCAAGAATGCCGACCCAGAACCCAAACTGGTTCTGGGAAACAGTCGGTTTGGTCGACTGCTTGCTTATCGGCTGAAGCGGCCTTCTGATATCGGTGCTCTTGCCTTGGATACGCCAGCTCGACGTTCACTGTACATGCCAGCGCGCAGCGGTGTCTTCGAAAAATACAAAACTACCGATAATGTTGAAAATTTTATTTTCATACGACACGTTCGTATTCTTCGTCAGTCTTGAATAGATTTTTGTTATAAATAATCCACAAAATTTGACGCAATTTTCACAGAATTTTGGTTTTGTTTTTCGTGAGAGACTCGAACGTAGCGTTCTTTCGAAGCTCGGTCTTTGAAACGATTGTACTGACGAAATACTTGAAGCAATTTTGGGACATTTGAATAATATACAATAACGTTTGAAACATTTTAGGAGAGATAAGCGCGTCTAATGTTTGGTGCGGGGCACATTAATCTTCCTTTCTTTTTTTTGACAAGGCCTGTTTTCTGTCGACCCTAACGGCCTATGCGAATCGAGACAACTCGCAACTTTCCTTTTCCCGACCATCGTAAGGCTTTCCAAATAAGTTAAGGCAACAGGATAGCGACACGCTGAGATGGACTTTTGGGCAAGAATACTCGGGTTTTCATCATTTTCAAAGGTTCTCCGAAAAAGGATTTGGAGAAGGTCTTCCCAAACCTTCCTTCTACCAATTCCCTCCTTCTTTCTCACAACCTAATTCGCTCCTGAAGTGCTTGGCTGCGTGAACACGTGTAGAGAAACAGACGTATAGGGAAGTTTGAGGGCGGGTATGTCTTCTCGTGTGGGGATGTGTGTGTAAGACAGTCTACACATACACGCGCAAACGGGTCTATCGTCCAGCTGTGGTGTGGGCTGGGTGTGTGGTGGGAGGGAGGGGAAACAGGCTCGACTGCTCCCCCTAATACTGGAGGATTGAATGGGCGAGGAGGGTGGTATTGGGTTCCCTCACGCCACCACCCACACACTGCTCCCAACTCGCTTGAGCCACCCATTCCTGTCCGCCTGCCACCCCGCCTACCCACCCACTCTCCACCCGACTGCCGTCGAGGAAACAAGCTGCAACGAACCAGCATAACGTTTCCTCGAACAACGATTTTCGTGAGCGTCTTGCACTTGGTCTTGGTCAACGGCAAACCGTGGTAAGTATTTTATAAAATCCAACGTTTCTGTACATCCCAGTCCTGTGCTCCTACGTGTATCCTCGCGCGTTTATGTGCCGCGAGTGACCGTCGTGTTCGGCGTCATCACCGTCCAGCGTCAGTACGATATCAGATCTCGATCGGTGTCTTCGCCGAGGACGTTCCTCTCCCGAGGAACTTACGTTGCTCCACTTGCTCCGACGGCAGTGACGGGTTGCGCGCCGAAAACGAACGGTCGGGAGCTGGTGCGAAGTGAGAAAAGGGAGATGCGAGACGTTAGCGGCAAGTGGAGACTGAGAACCGAATGTGAGTGCGAGTACGAATGATGACGAGCCGCGGCGCGAACGAGAGCGAGAGGAGAGGCCGCTGCCGCGACCGACGTATTGTGTATCGCGAATAGGCCGCACGCGAATACCCATCGAGACGCGCGGAGCGCGCGGCTATATGTGCGACGTCCCGGCGTCCGTGTGTTCGTCGGTGTTTCGACGGGCAGCGCGCGGTGAAACAGACGGAGAGAGGTGCCGGGTGTCCATGTGTGTTCCGGGAGAGCGCGTGTGCGCGCGGGGGCGGCCATTCGCGGGTGCTCCGCGCTATCGTCTGCGATGCCGAGCGCGAATAGCAGGCCGGCGGCATTCGCCGCAACGCGTTCACGGGACGAGAACGGCCGCTGACGGCGATTTTGCGTGCTCCGCCGCGTCTACAGGCGGCGGAAAGCGGAGACGAAAGAGCCGAGCGAAAAGAAGGAATCTTTCGGCTGTACGCGAGCGATCGTACATGCGTGTGTGCAATCGCGTTAAGTACGTGTGCACAATCGTATATGTGTGCATGCGCGGGCGCGGAGGAGACCTGCCTGACGTCCTTGGTTAGCCGGCAATAATTTCCGGATGGATTTGAATGGAGCACTGCGCGTGTCTTTTCTCTCTCTCTCTCTCTCTCTCTCTTCTCCCCCCCCTCTCTCTCTCCTCTGTGCTTTATTTTCTTCAATATTCTCACTCTCTCCCTCCCTCATTCTCTCTTTCTTCATCTATCTATCTGACTCTTTCTCTCCTTCTCGAGGACTGTGTCTTTGCCTTTATTCCGGCCGTCCGTGTTCCCGCCGCTGTGTCATCTCTCCTTCTTCTCCCTTCGGAGACTTCTCTCTGCGCCATAAAGTAGAGGTTCTCAACCAGCGCAACTATGTGAAGCTCCACTAACACACTCGAGAATACCCTCTACGTTCCACCATCTGTCGTTTCTAGGGAACGTGCCCCTGATCGGTGTGGCGGTGGGGCATATTGATTTATTCTTCACAGTAACCCCTTCCACGCACAGAAACGTTCTTGCCTTCCCCCTCCCTGTGCATGTACACGGTTGATTCTAGGGTATGCGCACGCACACATAGTTCGAGGTTACCAGCGGGGTTGCGCGTCTCCCCCTCTCAGTTACTCGAGCAGCAATCGTGACGATCAATACACTCTCGCTCCTTCCTCTTTCCGGATGCTGTCGCCACCCCTGCAGAACATAGTGCTAAATCCCTGTGCATGCATCACTCGATCAAAATCAATTAAAATACGGTATTTATAAAGGCAGACGAAATGCTCAGTTTAAAGAAATCAATAGGTACATATTTATTTTTTATTTTATGATAAAATCAAAGAATAATAGGAGGGGCTCAGAGCCTGAACAAGATAGTAATGTCCGATCAAATTATTTTATTATACTAGCAAATGTATATACTTATACGTTTCGGTCCTCATTGGACTATCTTCAGTATGTATATTCGGATTTACGATAAATCTGAAGATGCATAAAAATTAGAAAGTCTGCGAGGAAAATAGAAAAGACATTCAAAGTACAATACAAAGAATGTATAATATTACCCTTAAACAATTCTTATTGAGAATAACTCTTGGTAAAAGACAGTTCAAGAGATAATTTTGTAGTATTATATACTTTAATTTTCTGATCGATAAACGTCTGCAAAATTTAGGAAATAATTAATTGAAGGAAGCAGTATTTTTCAAAGAAAAAATGCAAATCTTCGTCATTTACCTGAGTATCGATATTGATAATAATTTTAGTTGGAAAGTTTTTTTTTATATTGTACGAGAACATTAAGAATTTAAAAGAAAAACCGGCAGTCGTTATAACACTGATTAATGTAGAGAATACATCTGGTATCGAATTTCAAAATGCAGGTATATCCTTGGATATATCGCTGTATTCGCGGAAAAACTCACGTCAATGCTGACAAAAAGTTAGACATCATTATACTTTTAAACTTTTTCCCATACCATATTTCTCTATATCGATCGTAAGAGAAATATGGCCCGACCGAATCGTGCGACTCACTTTATATATCGTTCAACTATTCTGAATCTAATCTTGTAGCAAACCCCAAAAGTCATTAAGAGACGCGTTATGAAATTTTGCACATTATTCCCCTCATTCTCTCCACTACGCTTCCTCTTGCACTTACGCTTTATGAAACGCAGATTTAATATAATTCGAATATAATTATACTCTACTAACTACATGAGAAAAATGTGCTCAACTACTGCTGCCAGTAGTTATATAATTATATATTAAAATCCCTTATATTTAAAATTTGTCAAATAAAAATAAGAACGAGGAAGGCTCAGTGATAAAATAATACAATAAATGGAAATAATTTGGGCAATGTAAGCCGTCACAAGATCAAAGGTGATCGGACGAATCGGACGACTCACATTGCCCAAATTATTTCTATTTATTGTGTTATTAAAATTTGTCATAATTTTTGCAAATCTTTTGTAATTACTTTAGACGTATTAGAGAAAAGTCGTTGAATAATTTCTTGTGTTCAACCTTCTGTATTCTCGCTCGAATCTCGAGACACACCGTCTCGCACCAAGTATAAGCGTAGCTAGAACGCGCGCGCGACATACACAGTTATCGTAAACATGATCGAAATAAGCGAAAATAACAATTAGCGTTTATTTCCATCAGGTTATTTACTAAAGTCAATCAACAAATATTTAAACTTGTTACTAGGACGATCGCTAACTGTGAAAATAATAAAATAATCGCGAAGAAATACACAAAGAATTGCAAATATTTGAAGCATACAACTTCGAGAATTATTATCTCTTACGATAACTATATGCAGCCGCTTCGCGAGCACTAACTTTGTGCAATATGTGCAATTTTCAAATTTGTCTGTATAATATAATACCGTGAAAGTTAATTTAAATAAGACACAAATCATGGAAATTTATATATTTTTTTATTCACAATGATATATAAACGACCAAGATTATTAGTCGAAAAAATGATGAAAAGTGATCAATATGTTCAAATATTGGAAAGAAGAGTGACCTCGCATCTATAGAAAATATTTCTAGCGATGGCATTTTTTAACGAAATTTGGCTTGCCATCCCTCAAAAAAATTTGTCCAATATAATCAAATAACTGTGTTATGACCGGAAATTTTTCAGATCTAAATTCAATAGAATGCTTGTAGAAAATTTGCAACAAAAAATTATTATAATTAGTGTATTTTATCGTACGATAAAAATTTCCCAATTTTACTGAGGATAGAAATATGACTGATAAAGAATATATTTATTTTAAAAAATTAAGACCTCGTAAAATTGTTTGAATAAATCAAGGAGATGAAAGTTATAAAGATAAAAAGGAATATATGTTATTATATTATTATAGTATCTTACATTTCATTGTGAATAAAGAATTATATTTTGTAATGAAGAAAATTCTATTTATAACTGATAATCCAGCGTTACATGTTCGAAGTGATTTTATATTTTTAATTTTGTCTCTAAATGTCATTTGCACGCGGATATATTATTATTCTTGATGTTCTTTTAAAATCGAAAGTCCGAAAATATGCTTTCGGCAACACGAACACATGGCTATCGAGCGAAAACAGACCTGGCAACGAAGGTTTTTTTCATGTGTAGGCCTTTGGTGACGACCCTTATGCAGGTAGACATCCTGTTGTAAGGATCACAAAGAAAAAAAGGTTTATTGTTCTGCGGACAGAGAGTTGACCGTTATTCTTAAAATGGAAGGAAATGGTACCAGGATGGATTACGAAGATATGTTTCGAGAAATCACAAAGAAACTTTATGGCGAGGATCCTGATCATAAAAGTAAGCTAAAATATTTTCTTAAATCTTTTAAAGTAAGTTCTTTTAAAGTAAGCTGAAATATTTTGTTAGATCTTCTAAAATTTAAAATAATTCTAGAATTTTCGAAAATTTTCTAGAAAGTTAAAAGTATATATTATTTTACTAATTGTCTAGATGTTATCAACAAATTATTGATTGTATTTGTTAAGAAAACTTATGTAATATCAGGGAATGTAATTCAAGTATTTATTTATATTTGTCGTGAGTCTTCAGTAAATATTTTTTTATGAACACATGTTCTTCATAAGAATCGGAACTGTATGCATTTCTTTTTCATGTAATTCATCATTTGAAACTATTCGATGTAAAATTAATTCATCAGAATTATTGAATTATTTAATGTTAGCTACGTTCAATAATCAAGAAATTTCAATTTATAACGGGCAATAGTTAAATATTTAAAATTAAATTTATTTTGTCTAATTATTCTCACGTGATAATTAATTACCAAAATGACAATTTAACGAGTGCTTTATATTTCATAAAAGCACTATGAGTAACTTTTGTTGATATAGCGTCGAGCGTACAGAACGAGTTCGAAGCATCCGTTTCTTATAAAAACGACGAAGATACTGGAAACGGTACCGATGGTAGTGACGATGGAAACTGGACGTACGAGGATGAGCCATTGAAAGGGACGGATGGAAGCCGAATCGCAGCTTATCATGCTGGAAAAGCTGTATGGCGATGTGAAGACTGTGGTAAATATATATATATATATTTACCACATATATATATATATATATATATGATTATTGCATTATTAAAAATATTCTGGCAACAATACAGCGAATGAATTGAAGTACACGATGTATGTAATAACGTTGCAGAAATCTTTTTGAAAATTTTTTTGCGAGGTTAACTTGTTTACAATCTCACGCTTAAAGGTCTAGATCGATAGAGCACACAGGGTATAGTTGAGTAATTTTCTATCCAATAGTGTAAAAAGTTTAGCTGATACAAGATAAAAATAAGTTGATTAGCAGGGGTAGATAGCGAGAAAGGTCCCCCTGCTAATTACCGATCGTGCCGTTTTGAACGATGACGGTATACGTTGTTCGCTAGCATTTCTTAGATTTACTGGACAAGATGATAATATATTTTACTAAATTTTCTTCAGTGCAACTACCCATACAGCACGCATGTCTAAAAGACATCTTTAAGACATGTGTGCTTTATGGGTATACATTTACTTTTAAAAGGAAAAATCCAAAAGTGTACAAAAAGCAAGAAATTTTATACATATTTACACATATCAAATAAATTAAAATCAAATTACAAATATCGGGTTCTTTAAGAAAATATATTGAATAGTGATAGAATAATGATAAAAATGATATGCTATTTTAATTAATCATCAAATCGTCATCAAAGAAAAGCGGAGGATCTATTAAGTATCATGGTTCGTAATGATTTTAGCCACTTTAACAGGAGACCACATAACGAGTAGTTCGCGGGAAATTGCCGAATTTAATAGCATGGAACAAATGCTAGTTCTAGAAGAAACAATATTAATTTTTCAAAAAAAGCATAAATTACAAAAGAATTTAAAAATAATTGATGCATAATTCGAAATTTTTTACGTAATTCTAGAAATAGTGGAAGAAAAAAATAAAGAAAACGTACATTTTTGTGAAACGTACATATCTTAAATAGAACGCTCGTAATTTCTTTCCTACAATATACTTTTCTTCTTTAAATAAATATGCATCGCGTATTATAATTGAAAATTTATTCGTCTTCCTATATTATTTCATCTTGCTTGTTCAAATGTAAAGTCGGTCTTTTGTGAGACAACTTAGCTTACAGTTTGATTTAATTTATCATATATTTTTCGCAACTAAACTGATTTAATCCACTTTAACAGGGGCAGACTACATAACGAGTAGTTCGCGGGAAATTGCCGAACATTTTATGGAATATCATCCGTCAAGAATCCTAGTTGATAGCACTAGAAACAGACACCATTCGCCACGCAAGGATTATTTGCAAACGGATTTTAAAATCGAAGATGTGGTCTTGTATTTAGAAAGACTGCGCGAACACGCCGAACGAGCGGCGCCTCCTTCCCGGAGAACCCAAGAAACGCAAACCGTACCTGCGGCTTTACTGCCGGTTACATCGAGCTTCCTCCTGCAAGAACTGCCACCCGCCCCTGCACCCCTACATTTGCAACAGGTATTATATTCATATATTATATATTATTTAATATATATTATCTTGAAATCATACACTAGATTTTATATAAAATAAAATTACCGCATTAAACGCTTTATACTAGCTCGATCTGCACTTTCGTAATATAATTGATAAAAAGAAACTATTCTATTTAATTTTAAAAGAAGAAAACTCCTAAGAAATTAATGCACGAATTTTGTTACTTTCTCTAAACATTTCGTCTGGGAGCTGTGGCGTGAACTCATTCACAATCAGACAATTCCGTCTTTCCCGCGCGGTTGAAGGCATTACTTACTCGAATTGTTCAATCTGAAATTTACCTTATATTAATTAAGTGTTATAAGTTTATTGTAATTAGACATTGAATTCAGCATCCAGTTCACATTTTTAACGCGTCTCGAACAATACCTAGCCATTTTAATTATAATAAATGTTTGAATTCAAATGAAACTCTCGTTCCATTCCAAAAGACAAGATTTAAAAACGTTATATAAATCGAAAAATTATTTGCAAGAGAATAATAGTTATCAAATCTAATTATTTAAAAAAATTCAAACACTATATTCAGCGACGAATAGGACGCATTTACAAGTGCATGTCAGCTTTCGCTATCTTTGTTTTTCAAGCTGTACGATGTATTATACTAACTGTACGTCTTATCACCTGATTAAAGCCTATTTTAAAGCAATGTAAATTATCGTAGAACACAACTACAATGCCTACTCCTGCTGCTGCATCTACGAGTGGTAAACGTTACAATTGTCCATTCTGTCCTTATGGCACGGACAGACGAGACCTTTACACGCGACACGAGAACATTCATCGCGAAGAGAAACCATTTAATTGTTATATGTGTTATAAACCGTTTAATCGTGCGGATCATGTGAAAAAACATTTCATGAGAATGCATCGCGATCACCCGTACGACGTATCGAAGATACGAAAACCGTTAGGAATCAACACCCCTAAACCTCCATTGCAACAGGATTTGTCGGTCACGCCGGCTACTGTCAACGTGAGCAACCAACAGCAACCACAACAGCAACATATGAGCAATCAGTTCGGTTTCGCTAACAACAAAGGTTATCAGCTACAGCCCAACGTTGCTACATCGATTGCTAGTACCGGTACCACCGGTATTCATCAAGCGATAATCATGCCTTCTCCGACGGGTCTTGTACAATCCGACGCGAATAATTGTAACACAGGTAGACGCGTACAAAACGGTGGCTGCAACAGTAAGAGTCATCTTAAAGGTGGCTCCAAGAGTACACAGGAACGCCGGTACGTTTTATTATCAACTATTGTACATCATTTCTTGAGTTATTTCTGTGCATGTGTGTGTGCGTGCGCGTACGCGCGTGCGTGCGTGCGTGTAAATACAAATGGACAAAATACGATGTTTGGTATAAAGTCCTTCTTTTCGCATTTATTATGACTTCGTATTAGTCCAATTGAATGAAATTATACTAAAGTATTATTCTGCTCTTAATATCAAGGTATTCCTGCGGGTTCTGCCCCTGGACTGGTGTTGATAATTGGTGTCTAAAGCGACATTTAAATACCCACACGAAACCCTACGCTTGCAGCTTGTGTGAGTACAAAGCTGCACGTTCTGAGCGACTTACAACACATGTTCTGAAAGTGCACAATAGGAGACAATGTTCGAGATGTTCATTTCTCGGCGAAGATACAGAGCAATTGCAAATGCATCAAGTGCACGCTCATCGCGCAAGTATGCCATCGACAACGACGACTCAGAACGCATCACCCCCTAGCAATCGTCACCAACAACCACTGCAGTAAGATTTTTTACGGCATGCATTAATAATAATCGAGAGAGAGAGAGAGAGAGAGAGAGAGAGAGAGAGAGGGGGGGGGAGGGAGGGAAAAGTACAGTATAACCAGTAGGGTCACTCGTTCTTTGTTTCACGTTCGCGCCGATCCGAACTGCGCATCTGACATATTTTTATAATGACCAATCACAGGATTTTTGCAATGTTAGTGCAAAGTCGATGTGACATTGAAAAATTTGCAGGGTTGACGAATAACGCGTAAATACATTTATACGTTGGAAAAAATTTCTGTAACATTGTATAAAAAGAAACTATCGAATAATTAAACACTTTGGAAAGAACTTTGTGTAATCTTTAGATATATTGCATTGAAAATGAAAAAATTGTTCAAAACATCGATATTAACATACATATGTAACAAATAAAAATTGGATTATTTTTTCACAATTTTTTTTTAATTTCATAATTTATAATACCTTCTTTTAGATATAATTAGTATTTGGACAATTCATAAAGCTTATGCTAGTAATTATATTAATTACTTTCATTAAAAGAATTTTTTTCATAGGCCATTTCCATTTACAGTAAACAATGTATGCTAGTTTGTATGCGCCTTTTCTGGATACAATCCTGAAAAGGGTCCAGGCACTTTTAGCCGTCGATACACTGTTAATGCTCATAAAAACATGGCAGAAAAGTGAGAACGCTCCAGATCAAAGAGCCGACAAAGAGTGACTCTACTTGTTATACTGTGAGAAAGGTACAGAGAGAGATTAACGTTACACATACGTTTCACAAAGTCATTATAAAGTAATTTAAGTTAGTTTAAGTGAATCAACGTTTAGTGAGATTTTAACATGGAACATAAACATTTTAACATGAAACTGTAGGACTAGATTCCAACGGCGCGAACTTAGCATTTAAAATCTGTAAATTCTATTCCCATGTGTGTATTACTCAAGATCAAATCAATTACAGTATAATGTTTAAAAGAGTAACCGAGGTATGACTATATGTGGTGATAGAGTCATTTATGTATATAGTTGCATTTATGCAAGACAATTGTTGATAAGAAAGTAATGTTGTCGCTTCTTTTTCTTCTTCTTTTATCGCAAGCTTAATTCATTAATGAACTCAATCAGATAACGCTGTATGGCCATTTCGACTCATTCTCTAAATATTAAAAATTCGCCCGGAATATCAAAATATTGATTCGCATCATGGTCAATTCCTCCTATATAAAAAATCGTATTAAGTCGAGTGTCGAAATTCTCGAAGTATTGTTGTCGCCTTTCCGAGATGCTGATTGGCTGTCTCGCTTGTACAATATGACATGCTTCAGTCGTGTTATTTGCAGCTGTCAAACCATGCGAATTTTTAGATAGAACAAATAGCGTGTGCTTATGTTGTCTAGTTTTATAAAAATCACATCAAACAGCGTAAGTTATTTGTATTTATAAGCATAAAAATTTTTAATCTCATAAATTTGTGATATTTAAATTATAAATTTTTCGTTTGTAAAATATAAGAAACATGTAAAACATAAACATTAAAACTGTTAACAAGAATAATTTCACAGATGATTTGAAAATTACGTATGTATAATTATACAAAGTCGAAAAAAATATTTATCTTAACATATATTATTCCACAAAATAAATAATCGTAAGCTTTTTCAACTTTTAAATGTTGACAAATAAATTTCACGCATGATTTCGCACGGCGGAAATATTCGCACACTCTATCCGCTTTCAATCTTTTCGCTGCAAAAGTTTGGGGCATGACATTCTCGTGTGAATAATTTACGCAATTATTTATTGCTTATTATTGGATTTATAGTCCTGTGGGAGGAGGGCGGCCGCCACCTGGGCCACCAGTTTTTCCAGCACCAGCAGCTCCAACAATTGCACCTGCCACCCCTGTGATACCACCGAGCACTTTACTTGGGTAAGCCTAATGACGTTTATTGCCACTGCACGTGATACTCGGCTTCCATTTGTTTATTCAATTAATTGCATTTTGTTGCATTTTCTCCCTTTTTATTAGTACTCGTATGTTACTTGCGCCATAAATGTCTTGCGGCATTAAAGGGCGAGCTCTTCCGAATTTTACGTTCGCTCATCTGGCTAATGTTGACTCACTCGACGACGGATTACCACTTGTACACTGAGAGAAATGTCCGATTAAATGAAAAATGTGATCGGTTTTAAAATGAAATTTCGTCAGTAACTGCATTTCAGCGGATAAATTTCGTCAAATGTATCCATAATTTAATCGGAAAACGTAATCGGAGGGATTAACCATCGGAAACACTATTTAATTGGTTTATCCGATGAAAATTTTTCTCAGTGTATGCATTAATTTTCTGTCGTCGATTCTGATTGTGAATCTGCTAGTGTACGGACAATTTATGAAGCATCCAATGATATCATATTTTCAGTTGAGATCAAATATCCGAGGATGTGACACTAAATAAGTGACTCTGAACGTTTCGACCATCTGAACTTCGAATTTTTCTCGATGTTGTTTTAAATTCTTGGTATGATTCAATTGCGTTTTGGAATACGTTAAGGTATAATTTTAAAGTTAACGACATAAATCAACATTCGAAATAATTGAATTTGTACTATGCAACATGATACATCGTCTATATCATCGTAGAAAACTGCGTTCTTAATTTTGACTTTCTTATTGCAAATTGATATGCTGAAGAAGGCACTGTGTTACCGAAACGCGTACATCTCAATTTTATAAAATTCTAAAATAAAAAATTTTATATTCTTTATCGAACACACAAAATTTGCTTGTTGAATGTTATTTGGCCGTTAGACGAAAATTTTGTTATCATATTTGCTGTTAATACGAAATCGACGTAATCGTACATCGATCGTAATCCGTTCGTGATGCGATCCGACGATTCGTCATCTCGCGTCATTATTCACTCCTCCTCCTATATTTTATGTTACGTTCTGGCGTCATTTTTTGATATTATTTTTAGTTAAAAAAACGAGATCTTTTGATTTCTTATGTCATCACGTGCACGCTTCGTTTGCTTTCGATGTCATAAGCTGCGTGATTCCGATTACGCGCTTGTTGCTGGATGTGTACCCTTGTCTAGTCACACAATTTTATTTCTCTCACATTGTGTTACGACGAACGCTCGTACGTTGGTAGAAAAATGACGCGAACGTAACTTATGGAACAGTGCCGCGGTGGTTGCAGCCACGAGATGGTAAAGTCCCCTGCAACTGCAACAACTATGGCATACCCTACGGAGGAGGAGAAGCGGTCGCACCGTCGCATAGGCGACACCAACGGTGACGACGACAACAACGACGACGACGACGACGATGTCGTCCGAAGTTTGGTAATCACAAGGCACGCAGTCGTGACCTCGTCATGAATCGTGTCGGTGATTTCAAAAGTGATAGGGACGATCTTAAGTCGTATTTGAATGATCACAATAACGGAAATAGAATCGATGCTACCGATACATCTAATAATGATTTTACATGCAGTTACCAGATACCGTCACCGTCAGTAGTGCCACGTTCGAATGAAACTTTGGAAAATTCTTTGTCGTCACAAATATCCGAGAGTAGGCCGAACGAAAAGGAGAATCAGAAGATTAGACGAGCCCGGAAACAGAGTCAGCCAAGACCAGTTAGACAAGCCAAAAATGTTCAAGCAGACGTTAGTTCATCAAACTCGCAACATGTAAGGACAACAAATTTTGAAATTTACAAAATTATCCAATCTCGAATAAGATCGGCATCCAAAAAACTTTTAAAATGTTACTTGTGCCCGAAATATGCGCCAGCACGTGGGAAAACTCATCGGCCATATCACACCAGAGCCTCACTGACACTCCATGTGTTATGGAGACATAAACGAGGATCTTGGCCGGCCAAGAGTCGCGCTATAAGAAATAATTTAGTATCGGCACTTTCTTCAGTTACGCTTAAAGCAACCTTTTTCACTAATTCAAATTTTAAATATGACAGATAGTATAACAGGAGATTTGTTATACTACGTCAATGAAAATGGTCAAGATGGCAAATTATAATTATTAACTAATTATAAGTCTTTATCACATATAATTAAATTTAAATCGTAATTTTTCAGAAAACTTGACCAATACTTTATGTTACTTTATTTAACGCACAGATTTTGAATTTTTATATATTTCTAATAATTTTCTGACAATTTTTGTCTTTAGGAAAAGTTAAAATAAAAATTTCTACTTTACGTAGATCTCTTTCTTAATGTAAAAACATTTTAATTTATTAAATGAAGATATAAATTTCATACTTGCACAACCTATATTTATGACGTAATAGGTTTTTCGAAGGGGACAATTGTAATATAAATTCTATATTCTCGCGTTAAGATAATCTGAAACGAACCAGTAAAGTAAAAAAAAAGTGTACGACATCTGTTTCATTTTCAAAACTTTACCAAGAATCATCAAATCGCTGTGAACGGTAGATATTTCCTAAGAAAGATGCTCTGAAAGATATCATATTTCTTTCATCACGTATAAATTCAATAATAATTTTTTAAATAAAATACTCTCGTTAATTCTGAGAGACAGAGGTCGTACACGTAATCGAAGCGCAGAAAGTACATCATAATGTACATATGTTTTTTTAACAATAGTCTTAACTTCTTCAATATTAGATAAGACATTTAGATCAATTATAAGTGTTATGTAAATAATTTTTTTGCAAACAGCATGTACATTCTGTGTGAAATTAAAAGAATGCATAATTACTCTTATGTTACATAAATTGCTCTTATGATACCACCTCAATGTCTACCTCACGACCTGATCAGAGATTTTTATAAAACTTCTATTTAGGTCAAACAAACGAAAGCGCCTTTAGGTCCGAACAAAATGTTGGTAGCCTAATAATTGTTTCTATACAAAAAAGGCGTGTTAAGTCGATAGTCGAAAGTCACGAAGTATTGTTGCCGCTTTTCCGAGATGCTGATTGGCTATCTCATTTGTGCGATACGACATGCTTCAGTTGTGTTATTTGTAGCTGTCAAACCATGCGAATTTTTAGACAGAGCAAATGGCGCGCGCATGTATTAACTAGTAATCTTAAAATGTGAATTCATATATCGTTTTCCACTTTGTCTTGCGCGCCGGTTTCTGTTTGGACATGACATAGTCTCATTTAAACACCCAAAAAAAAATTCTATTCATAAGTGGGGAAATCTTCTAAGCATTTCCTCTAAGCAAGAAATCTTATATGAAGCATTTTTCTCTTACTTTAACACATATTCATCTATAAAAGAGTAGACTCATAAGTTATAATTGAGAATAAATTCTTTTATAGAAAATTCCATTACAGTAATACGACTAGCCTCTTAAAATAAAAGGATACGCAAGAATTCGCGGACACGCGAGTCGCAGCACGTGCGCTTGCTAAAGAGAGATTGTTATTTGTTACATGATTGTCATTTATCTGCAATACACAGGGCAGTGTCAGTCGTCCTGTTTGCAGTGAGCTGTGAAACACGTGTACATACACGACAGTGTGGTGTAGTACAGTGAATTTGGTAAAAATAAACTCTTCGGCATAAACGAAGCACAAAATTTTCTAGAGGAAGCCCATTTAAACGACTACTGGGCCCACATTTGAGAGTACGTTTTTGCTGATAGCTTTTAACTCTATTCGTCCTGCAGTTTCACGCATATACGCTCTTTATTTGTATACGTAACATATATAATTAAATGTGTGCATATGCGTATTGGATATAGAACTGTAAAGCCCATTTTACGTTAATCGCAGTCGTACATCGTAAGTTTTGCAACGAGGAACTCAGTCAATGCAATTGGCTGAATCTCTCGTTGTGATGCTTACGACGTGCGACTACGACAAATGTAGGAATATTTAAGATGTTAGGCGGTTATAATTGAATGCTTTATAAGATTAAAAGTAGAAAATATTCGTTTTAAAAAGTTGTATAAATACTAAAAATAGAATATTATCATATTACAAGAAGAAAAGGGTAATCCAGATTTTAGAGTATCTTTTTGAGACTGTATTTCACAGGAAAATCTTCTAAAATAAAAATCACTTAAAAATAGAATTTTTTTTAAGTGGATGGAATCATTGTCGTCAGCAAATTCACATATTAAATCGATAAACGATTTCTAATTATTTAAAAATGCTACACTTAGCATTCAATACCTCCCTCCCCGTACTGTAAAAAATCTTATTCCGGAAAAGAATAACACACTGTGCTTTGAGAAAATCAATCGGCATCGCGGAAAAGGGGCTTCATCTGTTCAATATTAACAACATTCACGCCGGTAACATCACTTTTTTAGAAAGGGATAAACATGAACAAAAGAAGTGAAGCACACCGTGCTTCGAGAAAACCAATCAGTATCGTGGAAAAAAGACTCAACCTTTCGATATTAGCAACATTCACTCTGGTAACATTTCTTTTTTAGAAAAGGAATTTTCTTATAATAATTTTTACGCGTAACAAAATAGTTGCAGAGGTTAACTGAGAAATACGACACATTAAACATGAACTACAGAAGTGAAGGTAGACACGAATCTAAAAGAGAAGTGGAGCACACCGCGCTTCGAGAAAATCAATCGGCACCGTGGATACGAGGCCTCAACTATTCGATATTAACGACATTCACGCCGGTAACATCTCTTTTTTAGAAAGGCATTAGAAATCGTTTATCGATTTTAAACATGTAAATTTGCTGACGACAATAGCTCCACCTAACAAAACAGTACTATATCAACTGATCTTAATAATTTGTTGTCTTTTTCACCTGTCCTACGCACCGTTACTTTCGGACATATCATGCGCAGGATAGGTGGAAAACGGTGTATGAATTCACATATCGACTCATCTCTTTCGCAAAGTCGTATCTCGATTTTATGCAACTTCTGTTCTTTTTTTTTCTTAAATACTCGTTCTGGACCAGAATGAGCTTGAATCGACCTTGCACAAGAGATCAATCGATATTAGATTTAAATTATTGAGCTACCTATACCTTGTTTGGACCTAAAAATTAGCATTCTCGGTCCTTATCACATTACTCAAGTATTAAAACAATGCAGGATATAGTTTATTCATATCTAATTTCTTTTTCATACTCAATAAAAATTATTAGTAGCAGATACTACAGCGAAAGAAATCATATATCGAATGTTGGTACATAGTGCATGAATACGGGCGTGTGAAGCTTAGTGCATGAATCAAAAGCTGTCGCCATCTTGCAAATCACAGCAAGATCTAATTGATATTTTATTGCAACGTAATATATAACAACAAATTATCAAGAAACATTTATCTTATGAAAGTTACAAAATATAAGCTTTGTCATATAAACTTTATTATTTCAGAAAAAATAAAAGTTAATCATTTTTTCAAATGTAACACCCATAGTTGTTGATATATATGTATAGTTAATTATATAACAATACACATATACAATATTTGTAATTTTTCATTTTATGTCATTTCATTGTATCTCAATAACAATGCAACAAGAGCCGTGGCAAATGTTGCAATGGTATCGGACGTTAATGAACGTTGAAACGATATTAAGATAATAATGAGGTAGAATTTCACGAAAAAGAAATTTTAACAGAAGATATGTATAGACATTATTGTGTGAGGAGAAAAACTATTGAATATAAACCAGCTGTTGTTTGATTATCACTTATGCGCGCAGCAGGATTTATTTAATCCGCTTCTATCGCGCAGAATAAGTAGTTACCTTTTATCAAAAATAATTTCGCCGTCGAATGATTATCCTAACGAACTTTCCATTCAGTAACGTAAAACCTTGAGAGCACGGCTAAGAGAGAACGTCGACCTGATGTCGACAGTCGATAATTGGATGAAATCTGAAACCGTTCGATACCCACATTCCCTGCTTTTCATCACGGAATAACGTTACCCTGAAATTATCAACAACCTTTAACAAACCGATTCAATTCGTCTGACAAATAATACGACGGAGAAACAGTTATAAAGATGCCTCGTGAACGATACAACTGCACAGCCGTTCGTTTCGTTAGAAAACAAATTGTTTCCTATTTCCGTTAGGCAACAGATTATCTTAACTTGAGAATGTAGAATTTATTTTACAATTGCCCCGTTCAGGAAAAAATCTATTGTGTCATAGATGTAGGTACATTGTGTAAATATGAAATATATATCTTCAATAAATTAAAATATTTCTACCTTGAGAAGAAGATCCACCAAATCACAAATTTCCACTTCAACTTTCCCTATAAGCTCGCCCCCCCCCCCCCCCCCCCGATTTTGGGTGAGAGATGGATTACTGACAAACTGTAGCTTACCCGGGAAAAAATGGAACACATCTTGTGATATATGTATCAATCACGTAATATCTAATTGTATCGTGAAAGATATAATTAGATATTGCATGATTAAAACATATATAACGCAATTTTTTCCATTTTTTCTAGAGTTGGTTACAGTTTCGCTCGATAATCTACCTCTCATGGTAAAAGACTGGTTCACGAAAGACAATTCCAATATTCGTAGTCTACGTGTTCTGTTCCCTGAGTCGGACAGCGTGTTGGCACATGTATACTTGTGTCGAGAGGCCCGGAACGAAAGCAAGCGAGAGATCGCTGGATCCCCTCGATCAAGCCTCATGGATCGACGGAGCATGCGCATCGCTCGCCTTTCAGAACCATCTCCTTTGCCTCCGGGGAAGGGAGATCATCGGAATCTTAGGTATTCATAGTCCGTTTTTATATTTAAGATCATCTTAAGTATACTCTTAATGTCTTTTTAACCAATTAATTTGAATCTGCATATTTTATAAACAACCACCCACTTCTTGGTTTTAGTTAAAACAACTTGGCAGTCAAAATGTTAATTTATCAACGAGTTTTTCATATGATTGCTTAGTAGAAGGTAAGGTTTTTCGAATCTTCAGAAATTCTGTATCCTATAGTATCCTGCATTAACACATATGAAAAATTTGTCATATAACAAATGAAATATGCCGTTAAATAGAGTATACTTTTTGATGTCAGAATTATTTACTTGAATTTGTGCAGAAAAACGCAAAACAACGAAGAACAGGCAACTTCAAGAGATAAACAATGATCGAAGACTGATTGAGCATGTTTATCCAAATCTAACTACGAAGGAGTGGAATTGTATAATTGGATTAAATTATACATACATAATTCGTTATTATCAATGTTTGCGTAACATGCGCAATGTTCTGTATGAAATGGACAAGGAAAATGAAACTTCGACGAACGGGACTTCGCGTCAACATGGAGGAAATCGTGTTTCATCGGGGCAGACAAGCAGGAAGCGAGTTAACCATGGGACACAATCAGGTTTAACAATTAAAAAAACACGTACTTAAACACGTGTTTTGTCCACATAAAGTATAAATCGAGGGGGAAACCACTGACCAAAATTTTGTACTCCAATGCCCACTAATGCCCAGTGAGCATTACTTCATCTTATTATCTTATTATATCTTATTTATCTCGTTTTATCTTATTTTATCTTTTTATACCCCAGCAAGGCCTAATGCCCAAACTAATACCCAAAAAAATTGCTAGTAATGCCTAGTAATGCCTACACTGAGAAAAATGTCCGATTAAATATAATCGTATAATCCAATTACATGATAACAAACGGATATATCCGATTAAATTGTATATCTGATGAAAAATTTGATCGATTTTTCAATCAAATTTCATCGTTGTCATAATTGCATTTCATCAGATTAATTTCATGGGATATA